AGTGGCGCTGTAGCTCAAGTGGTAGAGCGCTCGCCTTGAGCTGAAGAGCTGAGGGACAGCACCCAGGCCCAGAGTTCAAGCCCCACGACCGACAAAAAACAAACAAACAAATATGGTTATTGTAAGGTCCGCCCTGGGAAGGCAGAGCAGACTCCTCCCTCCTCTTGGCTAAGTCTCCGCTCAGTACCTGCCCATCACCTAGGTAACTGGCACACCCAGAGGCTGTCATCTCCCCCTCCCCAAGGTCATATTCTCCTTCCGGTGTGGAAAACGCCCCTGGCCTTGGTAAGTCCTGGTTTGACCCTTTTCCAGCCTCCTGGGCTTTGAACTTGACCAGAGGCCAGCCAGCAGTTCAGAAAATAAACTTTTCTCCCTGGCCTGACTACTGCATGGGGTTCTCATTCCTTGGCAATCTAGTCATTTACCTGACAGTTATCAACAAAGTCACAGGGTAAAGTCCCTTTGAAGGAGGGGGAGTGACCAGAGATGTGTGTGCCTCTTTGTGTGTTTGAACCTTTGCAGGAATGGAGACTGAGCCCAGAATTCCATACATGCTAGGCAAATACTGTACCACTCATTACTTTCTCACTCAGGAGAAAGGATGTCATTTATTCACCTCACATCCCCAGTACCCAATGTCCCCTTGAGTCTCGGAGGTTTAGGGGGCTGGAAGGTGACCCTGAGCTCCTGGGACAGTGCAGGAGTCTCCTCTACCTGCAGGCTGCTGCAGGGCCCTTGGCTCACAGTGCTGACCCTGTTTCTTGTCATCTTGGAGTAGAGCTCACCACCCCGACCTTTTCTGAGCCGACTCCTTGGCAGGTCTCAGGTGTGTCAGATCTGGCCGCACACCTGTGCAGGTGGGGGCAAGGTCTGGAATTGGAGGTGCAGAGGGCTGTGTTTCAGGGCTGCCTCTGTCCCAGAGCCTCCACATCTCAGCTGGAGTGCGCCTAGCTGCGGCCATCTGATAAGAGACAAAGGGTGACAGAGCTGTGTCCATGGTTGCTCAAGGTCCTGCCTCCAGCTCACCATGGGACAAGGGCAAAAGCTTGGTATTGGAGGCTGGGTCCCAGGGTCCCGGCCGCTCTTCCTTGAGTGTCCACATGGCTGCTGCGCCCTGCCCACACTTCTCACTCTGCATTCTTTCCTCTGTCTTGGAGTCTCCTTGACCCCTTAATCTTCCTGAGCTCTGCTGTGCCCATTCCCATCCAGCCCCTTGACTGGGAAGAACAGGTGGGAAGCTTGCCCCCCCCCCCAGCCCAATTCCAGGCACTAGAGCCTAACTGCTCCCTCTCCAGACCACTCACCTGGGCTCCTGTCTTTGGGGAGCTGCCCTGTCTCCAGGAAAAGCCAGAGGTTGCTGCATTTCTGGGTCTCCACTCTTGTCACCCCATAACTTGCCACAGAACCAACAACTGGGGAACAGGAAGCAGAAAGGTGGTGGCTGGGGCTTCAACCTCTCAGAAGGGAAACTGGGCCGTGCGTCAGCAGCTCATGCCTGTCATCCTAGCTGCTCAGGAGGCTGAGATCTGAGGATCACGGTTCAATGCCAGCCTGGGCAATAGTCTGTGACACTTATCTCCAATAAACTACCAGAAAACCGGAAGTGGCGCTGTGGCTCAAGTGGTAGAGCGCAGCCTTGAGCTGAGAGCTGAGGGACAGCGCCCAGGCCCAGAGTTCAAGACCCACAACCGACTAAAAATAAAAAGGGGAACAGGGTGCAGGCTATTTGAGGAGTGGTGGGCGGGATTCTATGGGGTTCTTACCCAAATGGGGGTCCCGTGCCAGGGGCAAACTGTGGCATCCCACCCCCGCTAAGGAGCCGGTCACCCGACAACCCGGGTGTGTGTCGGGGCGCAGGCCTCCCCGGGAACGCACCTGCGGCCGCCAGCAGGCTCCACTGCCAGGGGTAGGGGCGCCTGCGCC